ACTGTTCCCAGGAAGATGGGACCAGCAGGTGGCAGCCATGAGCTGAGCCACAGGGCGTACAAGGTGGGGTAGGGCCAGCCTTGTAGCTGTGCAAACTGTGCCAGCCCACAGTTTCCAGCCTGCCCTGGCCTCACACYGGCTCTGTCCATGTGGAAACCTGAGCTAGTTTCCACGAGTTATGTCACCCATCCTGATCCTGGGCCTCTGTCCATCAGGAGTGGGGTTGACAGTGATCCTGGAGGAAAGCCTCATCACAAGTGCAGGACGTGACAGGTCACTTAGTGTTCATGCACATCTCTAAACAGAGTGCAGAAGACTGTTGCCTTCCTTCATGGGAGGAGAAATTGAGATAGTGTCAGATCCGGGCAGGCTCCGGCTCCCTCTGTCCTTGTGTAGAGCAAGCAGCCCATGGGGACAAGATGCCGTCAGGATGCACTGTACATCACTGCTTAGGCTGGTGTTTACACCTGTTCTTTACATAGTGGCAGACATGGCCCTGTAGGGCAGATACAGAATCCTCAGCAATCTTTTCAGTGAGGATTGCAAAATCATCTTCAGTTCAAGTTATCCCTCACCACTGTCCCATTTGACAGCTGCTTAGATAGCATTCCTGATCATTACAGTGACGTCCTGGTAAAACAAATGTCCCAAAGCAGAAAGCCAGAAAACCAATCTTTGGTTTGGTCAAGCTAGCTTAGGAAAGAACTATTCTTAAGTACTTCCTACTACTCGTGAATGTATGATAGAATTTCAAGACTCACAGTAGGGCCACTTCCAGTAGACAGGCTGCACATGGGCAAACATCAGTCACTCCTCAGAGCTCACGGGCAGCCAGAGTGTGGCCAAGAGAGGAACTGATGAGATACAACAGGCGTGCAGAGCCCCCTGCTGGGAACTGTTTGAAAATCAAGAGGTGAAACAGGATTACCTCAAAGGAGCTCCAGGGTCAGAGGAGTTTTTACAGAGGAGGAGAAGAGATAAGATCTGTTTCTCCATAGATATAGCTAGAAGGGTAGGTCAGTCATGGAAGGCCGGGAATGGAGTTACCATGCTATGATTGCTTAATGATTAACTCTGTTCTCCAATGACAGTCGTTCTGCTAGGCGGTCCTGTGATAATAAAGTCGAATAAATCCTGAAGGTGGCACAGCCCTGTGTGGAGAGTTGCCTGCAGTGGGCATCTGTGCAGATGGCTGTGGGGCTCCAGGGGCCCCTGCGAGGGCTTGCAGTGTTGTTCTTGCTGTGCGTGTGGCCCAGGGCTGAGGGCAAGAAGGTGCTGGTGGTGCCCATGGAGGGCAGCCACTGGCTGAGCATGCGGGATGTTGTGCGGGAGCTCCATGCCCGAGGCCACCACACCGTGGTCCTGGCTCCAGAGGTGAATATTCACTTCAAGAAAGAAGACTTTTTCTCCCTGGAATCTTTTCCTGTTTCATACACCCAGGAAGAGTATAACCATTACATGGTGGATAATGCTGAATTCATTTTTGATTCAGAACATTTTGTGAAGAAGCTTCTAAAACATTTGGCACTTTCAAAGAATGTATCTGCACTCTTTGAAAGTTCCTGTGCTGGGCTTCTTGGTAACAAGATCCTTATCAATCATTTGAATTCAAGTTCCTTCGATGTGGTCTTGACAGATCCTGTCTTCCCCTGTGGTGCYSTGTTGGCTAAGTACCTGGATATTCCTGCTGTGTTTTTTCTGCGAGCCCTTCCCTGTGACTTTGACTTTGAGGCCACACAGTGCCCCAATCCTTCCTCATATATTCCTAGGTTATTGACAATGAATTCAGATCACATGACCTTCCTGCAAAGGGTCAAAAATATGCTGTACCCTCTGTTCTTGAACTATTTTTGCCAAATTGGTTTTATTCCTTACGTGAACCTGGCCTCTGAGCTTTTGCAGAGGGAGGTGTCCTTGGTGGATATTCTCAGCCATGCATCGGTGTGGGTGTTCAGAGGGGACTTTGTGTTGGACTACCCCAGGCCTGTCATGCCCAACATGGTCTTCATTGGAGGAATAAACTGTGTCCACAGGAAGCCACTGTCTCAGGTCTGTATTGGTACCTTTACCAGTCCGTGTTCTAGACAGAGTTCCTTAAAAAAGAAACTTGCTTTCAAGTGCTTACTTATCCAGTGTTGTCTCCCAAGATTCCTGCCTCTCCTTCTCCTAATCCTCTTCAGTGAGTTTAATTGTTAAGGTGTCATTGCTCATGTGCCTAAGGCTTGCACTGACCACTGGTGGGGCTGATGTGTGGCATGGGCTTTGCATGATGACTGACAGGCAATGATGTGACTCCCAGCCATCCATCTGTCAGGGCAGTACCTTCCTGGTGGTGCCATGTCCTTCCTGTACAGCAGCAGAGAAATTGAGGTATGGTATGACCCCTATGGGAAGATTTGCTTGCAGGTCTTCAGTAGAAGTGCACAGCAACCAGCAGGTTGGGATTGTTGACATGATGGTTTGAAATGGTCTTGTCTGGGAGGGATGGAGAGGTGCTCACAGCACACTGAGCAGTCAGTGGAGTGGAAGCAACCTAATGTGTGTTGTACTTATGCAGCCTGGCTCAATTAGGATGAGTTAGGGTGTCATGTCATACTACATGACCAAATTTCATAAATATTCTGAGCATATACCCATATTGCCTAATTTCAATTCTTTTGTAATAAATTCATTGAATCTGCCTAATGCTCATAAATGTGTTATATAACTAATATTTTTTCATGATGTAACTGGTATTTGCTAAAATATAGTKGATTTTTTTAAAAAAAGTCTTTGCAGTAGCAGGGTTGGTGCATGTAGGTTTAGTGCTTGCACCTTGTTTATAGAGTTGGCTGTTATGTTTAAGTACTGTCCATATTTCACCTGATGCCAGTGTGTCTACTCTGTTTTTTGTTGCTGTTGTTGTTTTTGCCAGGCTCTTTACTTTCACTTAGAATATTGTAAGCATTTTAAATAATTCAGATAATTTTTAAAAAACCCTCAACTTAGTTTTTGATGGAAGAAGTATGCTCATTCACATCATATGCTTGATTTTATTCCTAACCATTAGTTCATAGGAGCTTTTATCCAGCTTACACATTTTCAAAATGGATTTTCAGTTCTAAATATTCTTTAAGGAAAATGCTTTTATTAGTTGATATTTTGGTAGAAGAATTGGGCAGTGTGGGAAGAGGGCTAGAAGAGATACTGTTCATTGTAAAGTGTAGTACTTCTAAAGTTTTGTTCCATGGAAATATACTTCTTATTCAATAAATTGATAACAATGAAAAAATGCTTTATTACCTGTGTAGATAGAAAAATTTCTATTCACTGCAGCACTGATATAGAATATGCCCTAATTAATTTTCGGGTTTGCTCCCAACAATTAAGACTAGCCAGAGATCTTAAAGACCGTGACCTCTGAGTGAACTTGGTATGCCAGGCCTTTTGCCTACCACTGAATTCTTTCTGGACCATTTTGTGACCTACTGTGTTGCTACACACACTCAGTCTGCCTTGTGCAGAGTAGTGATTTCACATGCATCACCATTTGGACACTGCCTGCTCCTCCGAGTTCAAACTCCTGCTCCCGCAGCTTCTTTGGAAACAAAGCCACCCCAGCGACTCCTTAATGAGTATGCTCACTGGTATGAATCCCCTTTCTCTGCCAAATGAACATGTTTTCTTAAATCCCTGGAAGTTTGTTTTTAAAAATATTTCACTTGTGTTTGTGTGTGATACTGGGTATTGAACCCAGGATGTTCTACTACCGAGCTCCATTCACAGATCTATTTTTCATTTTGAGACAGAATCTTGTTAAATTGCCCTGTGTTCCTCCTGCTTCAGCCCACCAAGTAGCTGAAATTGCAGGTGTGAGCCTCCACATGTGGTATTTTCTGACACTCTTTAAAGGTTACTACATAGGGAGCAACTGCACAGTATCTCAGACTGTTCCCTGAAAGTGGCTTCAACAGTCTGGGTGCCCATGAGAGTGCTGAGTCCCATCCCATGTTCCTGCCATTGAGTCATCTGCATGTCATTCCATGCACACTGGAATTCTAGGACACAATAAGGGTCAGGCCTGTTCTCACACAGTTCTAGTTGACAGTGTGTTCAGGCCACACAACTGCTCTGCAAAGGACTAGGAGCTTGCTGTGTTGCTAGCCATGCCTTGGTGTGTGGTACATGGTGCCTCACCTAACCAATCTTTCTGGAAAAAACTAGTTTGTCAAGCTAATAGGATATCTGTTCTCAGCATGGCTCTCAGGGAGTCATGTWGCCTTAGGGAAAGGCTCTGTTTCTTTGCTTCTTTCCAGCCTCTACTTAGTTGTAGAACCAAGTCAGGCCCGAGTATAATCCTGACATTAAATACCTTTACTTGAACATTTCCCACTAAGAGGGAGCATGCTCCTGGTCCACTCTTTTCAGTGAAATGGATTTCAGACTTCTGTTTTCCAGAACTTTCAGAGAAGAAATACAAATTTATTAAGACAGCATGTTTGTGGTAGTTTGTTACAGCAACCACAGGAAACTAGGTAAACCCATTTTGCTACATTTAACTCTTTAAAGAAAAGCCAGGTTTTAACATTTCATTTAAACAATGGTCAACTCTTGCTATACCACCAGTTTATGTACAACCAAAATCCATCTTTATTTTAAACCAGAACTATTATTAATATCTTTCACTGCTATGTGCCAACAAATTGATTCATATTTCAATGGCTCATATTTCAAACAATGAAATAATGAACGATTAAAGTGCTGTAGTGACCACTTTTTCCTAGCACTACGAAATAATCATCGTCTGCCTCGGGATTAAGTTTAATAAATAGCACAGTGCATACAGATATTTACAACAGTTTTTAAAGACAGAGATTCTATTCGTGTAGTCCCAACAATAACAACAAATTGGTGTTGGCATGAACTGTTTATACATTCTTGGGTACAGCTGTTTTGAAAGTAGACTTCACTTGCAGTCTTAAAAAAAATGTCCTGCTATTCCCCCAAATGTGTTTTAAGTCCAGGGGAATTACTTGGTGTCAATGTGTAGCAACTGCTCTCTGCCATTTATTATCAGGGACTTTAACTCTCCGTCTTCTTCCACTTCCACTCTTTCCTGGCCATTCTCAATGATTCTTTTGGTGGTGACTTTTTTGCCATTAACTATTTCGGTGGAAGTTGACATGGACTTGAAGCTTCCTGTCCCACCACTGCCACAAGACATGGAGAAGGAAGAAAGGCCTCCATTTTCAAGGGAACCAAAGGAAGTAAATCCTGTATCAAAAGAAGAAAAACCACCCCCAAAAGCTGGGAAGCCACTGAAGGTAGAGAAAAGGGGTGCGGACCCTCTGCTTCCCCGGGAGCTCCTCCGACCCCCAAAAATGTTCTCAAGCGGGTCTCCGAAGAAGTCAAACGAAAAAGGGTCCCGGCCGCCGAAGAACTCCTTGAAGACCTCAGCCGGGTCGCGGAAAGTGAAGACGAACTGGAAGGGGTCCTCGAAGGTGCCTGCGCCCGCGCTGCCGCCGTCCACTCCGGCCTCACCGTAGCGGTCGTAGACGTCGCGTTTCTTGGCGTCCGACAACACCTCGTAGGCCTGGGCCACCTGCTTGAATCTCTTCTCGGCCTCCTCCTTGTTCTCCGGGTTCTTGTCGGGGTGCCACTTGAGCGCCAGCTTGCGGTACGCCTTCTTGATGGCCTCCGAGGAGGCCTGCCGGGGCACACCCAGCACCTCGTAGTAGTCCACCATGTTGGGCGGCGGGCGCGGCCCGAGGCCAGGGCACGGCGAGCGGCGCGGAGGCAGCCGGGGCACGCGGCCGAGTGCGGGCTGCAGCGAGGGCGGCCGACAGGGGCGCCCCTTGTGACGTGGCCGCCTCTCATTGGCCGAGGCCTCCGTCGGTGCCGCATCCCAGAATGCTGTGCTTGGGGCCTGTGCCCACCGCTGGAGGAGGGCTCTGTGACGCCCCCCCCCCGCCCCGGCGCGGAGGCCCCGCCCACCGCCCCGCCCACTCGGACCTGCCCTTGGGGTGAGAATAGACCAGGAGCGTGACCCTCCCTGGAGAGAGAGGGGCGAGCCCTGGGCGCTCGGGAGCTGCCGTTTAACACTCCTCTGTGCGTCGAGCCCTCCGCCTCAGCAGGGTGAGGGCCGTGAGGGAAAGGGTAGGTTGGTGGACCCTGGGTGGGGCGGTCATGTGACSGCGTCGGACTGCCGTCCTCAGGACCCGTTGCTGTACTGTGACCGTGTTGTATCTAACATGTATAAGAAATTAAAACTGAGAACTAAAAGATGTMTTCATTAGGCAATAATAACGACCCTTGGCACGCTGGCGTAAATCCCATTCATATGAGAAAATAGCTGTTTTTCCAAACAAAATAATCCCGTGAGAAGAGTGGCATCGTTTTACATTTTTCACATCTCGTTTTATTATCTGACTTAATAGAGAGTTGTATTTTCATGTCTTCTTCTGCATTCAGTCTGTTTTGATGTCAGGCAATGGGAAACCTTTAATTATCTCCCCTGTATGCTTGTAAAAGAGTGAAAAAAAATCAGCATTGTTGTCAGAGCAACTTTTTTTTTTTTTGGTGGAGAATGGAGGGTGTCTTGCCAAGTTGCTCAGACTGGTCTGGACCTCCTGCCTCAGCCTCTGGAGTAGTTGGGATTACAGGTGTATGCTACAGGCCCCTCTAGGAAATAGTTTTGACTTTGTAAAATTCCCTTTAAAAGTTCTTGGGGGATCCCCAAGGATCCCCAGCCCATACTTTGAGAATCACTGGTCTAGTAAATCAAGATCTGTATAATCTGTGTGCCATCTTTATAGTACTGGGGTAAACTTGGGATGCAGAGATTAGTTCCACTGAAACTACTGGATCATGATGGTTTTCTTTTTGACATTTCTTGATATCTGAGTTCTCTCCATTTTTCTCCCTGTTCTCTTTTTGGGCACAATATTCCTGCTTTGATTAGTTGTGAAGCAATACATCAATAAAGGCTATTTAGTTCTAAGGGAAAAATGATTAACCAATGAACTTTCTAAGATTTCAACATGAAGGATAATGAGTRGAACTGGGTGCATTATCTCTCCAGAACAAATCGCCAACTTTATATCACATTGAGTAACACAACTTGAATTCTTGGACTTGGCACTTAGTAAGCACACAATAAACATTAGTAGGCAACTGTTCAGGAGTGAAGTCCAGTATGAACAAAGCAACTTGGGAAAGTACAAAACAGGTTTTGGGAAGGGCAAATGATCCAGGATGGCTGGAGAGCACACAGCAGAGGGAAGAATCGAGCAGAAGAGCTAGAGAGGAGGAATGTGCTTAGGCAGATGGTCTGGGTTCATTCTAGGATGTCCTGAGGGAAAGACTGTAGAGTATGAATGTTCTTGTGGGTCTTAGGAAGCTGTTGAGCAAGGTGCCAGCAGTGGTGGGTGGTGGGGCAGGGCAGGGAGTGGCTGATGCTGAGTCACACTCAACAGCTAATGGTTGAAGGGACTGGAGCCTGAGGCTGCTCCCAGGGGAGCTAGCAGAGAGGGCTGAGAGGTGGTGAGAGAATCATCCATATTCAGCACCTGCCAGCTGGATGTGGGGCCTAGAGCAAAGGGAGAGGGAAGTTGAGCTACACAGAACTTTTACTGAGTGCAGACTGTCTAAAAGACTGTGGATGGGTGCCTGGGTGAGACAGTGATTCCTAAATTGAAATCTTGCCTGTAAGGAATGTAGATACTTATGTACAGTCTAATAGCAAGGACAGATCTACAAACTGGTGAATAAGAAAGGCAGAATAGAACAGAATGCTGCAGAGGTTTGAAGAAGACAGATTTGTTTCCCATGGAGGGTCCTATAGATGATCTGCAGGACAATGGATATGTTTATGTTGTTCCTTTAGTAATAAATCCCTCCATTCTGGTCATATTAAAGGAATTCAGAGTGCCCCAAATGGTGGGATTATTAACTTCTAGCTTCAGTTTAAAAAGAAAACACTTCCTTGTAGGTTCCAGGAAAACTTTACATGAACACCTCACTCTTCAATAGCCCCCAGGGAAAGAAAATGTTACTGTCCTGTTTTTCTTCCGTGGCCACCAGAGCACATCTCACTCTGCCCTCCAGCTCTCTGGTTGTAAATTTGTCTCTGCCTGCTGATCCCCTCCTCACAGGCAGAGTTATTTCTACATTGGTTTTCTGGCTGTCCTATGGGCAGAATGCCTGGCACACAGTAGTGCTCATATKTTCCATAAATATTCAGTGAATTGGCAATGGGATTTAAGTGTCAGGTTTGCTCAGGTGCCAGGCAGAAGTTTTTTTGGTCACTCAGCCATGGTTCTTAGAGTGGTCATGATGAATGAGGATTGCTTGCCATAAAGATTAGGACACATATTTGCTGATCAGGGAGAGTTGTAGTCTCAAACCTTCTCAAACCTAAAAACACTCCACGATCTAGAGGTGTAGCTCAGTGGTAGAGCACTTGTAAAGCCTGCATGAGGCCTGGGGTGTCCCAGTACTGCATTAAAAAAAAGAGGCCAAGGCTCTGCATGATTCAGAAAAGTCATAAAATCATTACAGTGGCAACTGTATACCCCTTTGCTCCCTGTTATCTGTAGATGAACTCATAACATTGGGACTTTGGAAGAATTATCGCTCTTAAAGTTGAGCTTGGACTGCAGGGTTCATGATTACAGATAAGGACACAACAAATAATGAAAACACTGCTGCGTCTTTTCTGCTCACCCAGAATTAAAAGTGTGGGGGGCAGAGACAAGCTGCTGGGGCCCGAGTGTGCAGTTGTGTGCATCCCCATGGGAGATGGGGGATCTGTTAAGGAAGGATGGTGGCTTATAGAAAAGGGACCCTAAGTACCAGGAGGAGGGGTCCCTGTTACTGTGTCCCATGGGACACCAATTTAAAGTTGGCAGTTTCTCTATGACATTCTTAGCACATCCCCAAGTATGGTTGGCAGTGATGTCCATGGTAGAAATGTTGGTATCTGTTTTCATCCAGGTCTTGTAGAGAAGAGCCATTGATCCCCACCCCCCAAAAGATTGCAGGGCCCAGTGATGCCTTAAAGAATGGTTGGCCCATTCTTTGGGAGGGGCATTTTTGTTCAGCAACTATTATAAGCTCACTCCCAACCTTTGCCTGGTCTCTTAGGACACCAGCTGGTGCTGTATAAACACTGTTCTTGGCCTTAAAGTTCTTCCACCTGCCTTTACTTCTCTCAGTTTGATTGGGCAATGACCTAAGATCACAGCTTTTCTTCCAGCTTCTAATTGCTTGTAAATTTCAATCCAGGGCTTGGCCATCATTATCTGGGAGCTGTGAGAGGCCAAAAGATCAGTGACTTGGAGCACAGACCCCCAGGGCCTGGGTCTTAGCCCTACCACTTATATATACAGGACTCTCTGGCAAATCGCTTTGCTTCTTTTAGCCCCAGTATCTTTGTAAAGTRAGAAAAATGATGTCTGCCTCTACAGGACAGTTCTAAGGGATTGCATAAAGTGTGTTATGGGGGCACTTAACAGTGCTTGGCACATAGGGCACACTCAATAAGTACAGAGTTTTATTATTTTTTTGTTCACCTGTCCCCTTTGCCTTTAATGCAGTTGTTGGAGTTTACCCTGGACCTTGGGCCAGTGCCATGAATACAATTGAACTTGCTTATCTATTTTGATTTCCTATTTGTTAAATATCCCCTGACTGTCTCTCTGAGTGAGTACAAGTCTGTCTTTGGAGAAGCCTTCTGTGCATACCCTCTCTAGTGGATTTCCCTTCCCAGTTGCTCTCTACCCTAGCATGACCCCGTCCCTTGATCCACATCATTAATTTCTTTCTAGTACATTTCACAGCCTCCAAGGTCCCTGTTTATCAGTTTAGATCATGAGTCTGTTCATCTTGATGGAGCTTAAAAATGAAAGGCTAATAAAAGTGGTCAGGCAGAGCCCCAAGGGAGCAGTGGAGAAGGGCATTCTTAAAGTCTCCATGGGCCAAAGGTGGTTTGGGTGTTGCATTCCAAGAAACTTTCTCTTTCTGGAATGGAAGTCTACTTTGTTATGTAGTGGGCCTTTTTCTTCTGGTTACATGTTCTTGATCCATGAAAATAATAATTTAATGGATGCAGAGGTGCTGGAGATATTTTTCTTTCTGTGCACACTCAAGAATGTAATTAGAGGAAGGATTCCGGCCAGCTCAACTGTTGCTGCCTGTTAAGAAACCCTGTTAAGTAAAGCTCCACCCTCATCTCTGACAGCAAGCTTCCTGCTGACTTTGGAGAAGGAGGGCTTTAGTCATGTGACACTATCAAACATTAACTTGGTGTATGGATTGGCTACATGTGAGGTGTACTGCAGGCAGCAGAAGAGGTGGAGGCACCATGGCAGTAGTGTCCCAGGGCCCATGCGCACTTCTCTTGGGCTTGCTACTGTGTGTGCTCAACCCTTCTATATCCCATGCGGAGAAACTGTTGATAATCCCAGTAGATGGCAGTCACTGGCTGAGCATGGTCGGGGTCATCCAGCAGCTGCAGAAGAGAGGACATGAAATGGTGGTCATAATACCTGAAGCATCAATTCATATAAAAGAAGCATCATTTTATTCCTTGAAGAAGTATCCTGTACCATTCCAAAGGGAGGACGTAGAAACCTCTTTTACTGAACTTGGGTTTTATGCTTTTGAGAAYGTGCCTTTCCTGCAGCGCGTGGCCAAAATATTTGAGAAAGCCCAAAAGGACTCTGCCCTGCTTCTGTCTGGCTGCTC